AATGTTGATTAGCGAAGACTTAGCTATCAAGCCTTGAGCCATTCTTACAAGTATGTGGTGAGTCAGAAAGTGGTTAAAAAAAAAAAGTTATACACAACATATTAACTTCAGCGGGCTTGCTCACCTCCACCCTCCGTTACCCACTCTGGCCTAAGTGGGCACAAATACAAACGATACAAAAGTTATTTCAAATTCTTCAGTCACCATAAAAATCAAAATGCTGTTTTTTTCTTTAATGGAAATCTAAGTTATATTGGACTTTGGAATAGGAGAAACACCTCTTCAGCCCTGTTCCACCTTCTAAAGAAACTGTGCAAGCGGAACAAATCAAATGAAGAGCTCCCGCTCTTATAACTTATATACCCTATAAGTGATATACCGTAACATAGCTCAAAATGGAAAAAAGTGTGTGAATTCACAAAGGTGTATAGCTAGACCACCTTATTAATGTAATCATCTTTCAGACTTTGAACACCTCTACAAATCAGATTAAAAATAAACAAACACATTAATTAAAAGCAAAAGTCCAGGGTCTCCCAATATAATTTAAAAGAACAAAAATCACTTGAGCCAGCAGAAGGGGGACCATTACGTGCCTTGGAATTGCCTTCAAGTTCCTCTTACATGCATCAGTCGCTGGCACTGCTCTTGAAAAGTGTCTTTATCAACTTCACCTTACAAATTCAGCTGAGCTGAATTTCTTCACCCGACTAAGAAAGGCTGCAGAGGAAGGCTCGTGTTGCAATTGCGTAAATCATTTTTAATTGCACTGTTTTGGGAGTTTGTTCAGACTTGAACAAACCAAATTTCAAAATCCATCACAAAGCAAAAATTTCAGACTTCCAAAAGACTCTTCTCTTAAAATGAGAAGTAATGAAAGCAAGTGTTCTGCAGACTGAACTCCCCAAAAAACAAACATGAAAAATAACAAGTACAGAAGCTTTGCCTAAGCTCTGTGAGCCAGTTAAACCATTCGCTTGCACGCGCAGACACCCTGTAACCAAAGTAAAAGGAACTCTTAAAAAGCACCACTCAGTTGTGGGGAACAGAAGTACATCCTACCTATGGGCAACGCAGCTCCACCTCTGTAACTGCTGCATACTACTACATTTAAGTTCCCAGCCTATCAAACCTATCACACCATGTTTTTTCTCTATTTTGTTCATCTCCATAGCTGAGAGAAATTTAGGAAACAAGCTGCCTTTCTTACACAGAGAAGGCACAGAAGGTACGTAGTGCACCCTTTCAGTTCCTCATTTCCCAGTAGTTGTCTACTGTGATTAGACTCAATTTTGTGGCACTGGGGGTCTTCTGCAGCCACCCATATTGCTGGATGTTCAGCAACCAGCACGGCTGTTCAACAGACATCTCTGCTAATAGGAATTGCACACAGGTACAATGATCAGATGGATCTCTCATCTTGCTTAAGAGAAATCGCACCAAAAATTACTCGGCAACTATTCTGCTCAGGGAATCTCTCTGCAATCTATAAAGCAGAAAGGTTCCTAATTTCACATTGATACTTAAGACATTTCACAGAAAGCACAGCATGTTTTTAGCTCAGAATTCAGAGCATGGGTCAAGTTGGGGGATAAGGAAATACTGATTCAGTGATAAATGCTGCTGAAAAACAACTTCTGTCAGCTGGTCCAAGTCACTCGTCTCACATGCCAGGATAAGCCAGGGATGGCCAAATTAAGAGCGGTATTTTGTTTATGACAAAAGGACAGTAATAATAGAATTAAGGAGGAAAAAAATGTGATAACATAACCAAAACAGTAAAAGCTAAAACCAAAATACCAATAACCATGCTAGCACACAATAGCAACAGGTATACAGGAATAATACACATAATGAAGAACTCAAATATATAGGAAACGTTCTCATGGAAGAGATCTGAGGAAGCACAAGAGACTACAATGCAAACCAGGAGAGGTGAAGCATGATATTACAAGACAGTAAGCATAAGTATGTTGTGTTCAGTAAATCATCAACTTTATGAAAACTGAAACAACGTAAACAACAAACTCCGCGGCAGTGGGGGCTGCAGCAGCAGCAGCGATACAGCGATACATAATTTATTCTGACACATGCCCCCCACAGTGTCTTCTTTGTGTAGACTGAGAACATGGAGCCGTACATTTAGACTGACGTTTTCAAATCGGTCAAGGCAACCAGGGTGTTCTCTTCCACTCATTTACCAGGAACTGCACATTCAAAGTCCTTTTGTAGGTTTAGAAAAGTCTCAGACAAATTTATCTTAAGGAAGAACTGAGAAGTTACCATAAGTAACTCCATGCTGGGAAAAGAGCAACACTTCACAGAGTGCTAAAAGCATCAAACTTCCTCTTGATGAATAGGTGTATCTGTGGAAGATGTCTGTTTGCGTGAATAAAAGTAACTGGCGCATGGAAACAAACTAAAATCCAGTGTGTACAATATACCCAGAAACAATCTGTTCTCAGTAATACATGATGTTAGCTTCTTTCCTCTAAGCCATAAAGCTCCAACTAAGTGAGAAAAAAAACTCCATTATTTCACCTCTTGCTAAATCTTATCTAGTGTTCTCTCCAACTAATGTTAATAGTCACATCCTTCCATCAATTCCTATGGAGAGTACTCATCAGTCTAATAAATCCTACTGCCTGTGCACCTTTTCCCTGATGTTTGGGCTGTTTCCTCCTTTTCTTGTAACTGTGCTCCCTGTTCAATCTTAATTACTAACTCCTCCTTTTGAGCATTTCTCCCTTCAAGTTTTCTTAGACTTTTATACCCACCTTCACTCCGTGCTTGGAAAAGTTTATGTATTTAATATGTCCAAGTACATCCTTCCAACTCCACCATGTTTATTTCATGCAATGTTATTAAAGGAGAAAAGATAACTTTCCATGATATGGAGACAGAAGTAGAAATAGTTCTTTAGCTCTTCCCTGTGACCATTTCTGGTGTCCTTCAAACCTTGTCATAACCTGTTAACATCTTCCTAGTAACTGAATAGTCTGGAAATGAGCAACACATTCCAGACTTGGTGTGCTACATCTGTAACAAGGAACCTATTAATTCCCTGTGCTGTAAAGTGACATTCAAGGATGCAGCATGAAGCAAAGACGGTACGTTTACTCTCCTACCGTATAGCGCAAACTCATTTCTCACATGAAAGGACAAAGTGATAGCATTTATTCCAAAGCATGGAGGAATAAAAGCAATTTATGAGTGAAGTTTTTGTAGGGTATTGGAACACACAGTCATGTAAATCTACTGATGAGTTGTTACTACAGTGATTTTAATCCAGAGGCTAAGACTGCTGTTAACTTATTCCAAAAATACTTTTTCATAGTAACAAAGCTACAGTGTTTACAAAAAGGAAGAGGACAATATTTCTGGGCCATTTTGGCATTTTTTTATCCTGTCAGGATATGAAATGCGGTAGAAGCACTTCAAATGAGTATTAGTCGCAATGTAGATTATAATGATGGTACACACCCTTGTACTTACTGTTCTCTTGAACAATTTCCTAAAAATACCTGTTGGGACTCGAAATTGCCAACTGCTGTCAAAGTGTTTGTCTTATGATCATAATACTAGATGCTCACCAACTTTATAGGCCATCAACATTCCCAATCTAAACTTATGTACATTTTCCAAAGCTTCCAGGTTTTCTTTTCAGCATGTTAAACGTTTGCAATTCCAGATGGTTCAAACAAAAACCATATACATGTGACATCAAACAGAAACTACAGCATCACTTCAATGCAATCCACTCTTAAGTCAATCTAGGACTTGTTTGCACATGAACAGGCATTCACCCTTGAAACGAAACATTGAGAAAAGTTTTCCCAACCTTCCCCCACCTTCAAACAACTCTCTGATTTCAACAAACACATCATCAGAAATAAAATTCCCATAGACCAACACACCAAACAGAACCAAACCACTTCTGAGTAACAAAAGCAAAACTTGTCAACACATCTCCACAAGCACAAGAAATACTATCCTCAGCAGAACCAACAAAATCCATCAGTGGTACACATACATTTCCCAGCATGTACTTAATGCACCAAATGACCTCTTAGAAAAATCATGGGCGAGACTAACAGCCACTGCACAGATGAATAAACTTACACAGATAACCTGAAAGGAGAGAAACGCACAGTTTCCAGCAAGGAACTATTTCTCACAGAATAACCATTCCGTGCCTAAACTTTCACTCCTGATACTCCAGAGAGACCTACAAAACATTTTCAAAAAATAACTCAGCAAACTAAACTCATTAGTCAACTAGTCACCAAACGTCACAGACTGAATGCAACAATTTCTTTTATTATATTTCATACTTCTCCCTCCACCCCCACATCTCTCTGTGCTCCACAGGTGATAAATATCTATCTCTCTGTTCCACTGAATCTACCTTAAAACCTCTTCTCTTCCTAGAAATTTGCTACGCTTTCCCACAGGAATCAACATTTTTTTCTCTCAAATGACCGAACAGCACAATTGGATTAAATTCTGACAAATGTGGTTCAAGCTGTATAAGGCGGATGCTTCTGTTCCAAAGCCACGAAACTTCACCTTGGGTGCCTGAAAGTTTTCCAAGTTTTCCGCTCTCCATTTTTCAGTAGGTATTATCTTTCCCTGTAGATTTTGCCTTGTTAAAAAGCACTATATGCAATAGCACAACCACGGCATTCTAGAAGCTGTCCACTCTAATTCATAGAGCATAGTATGAAAGCATGAAAGCTTGTTACAAAATCCCTACATTAGCATTGCTCTGCTGAAGTTCTCTCCCCTACTTGCAAAACATAGACAGAAAATCTTCCTTCCTCTTTTCTCTTTGCTAAATCTGCAAGAACTATCAAGAACACAAGACACTTTAGCATGAGATCATTTTCTTGCAGTAATCATCAGTAGCATTAGTTTCACTTTGATGGATGCATAACATTTCCCAATTAATTAAAACAGATTATTTTTATGTTTTCTTTCAGGCTTGAATAAAAACTTACATCTTTTCCCACGACTCTGAGTTCAAACTGTGTTTCCTTGAAGTGAACTTTTGTAATTCTAGGCCTGTAATATTGCAAAAAAGACAGAAAGTAGTTCATGGTACTTTGACTTCATAAATAGTACACTATAAAGCTGCATATATTTACATACAAAGACAAGAAAGGATTCAAAGTAGGATTTTCTCTGCATGTACGCACCAGATATCAGCAGAAATTAGCAGCACTTAAACATTTCAGCATGAATTCAGTAAAGGTAAAATATATTTTTCAATATTTGGATTATTAAAGAATTAAAAATTCGAATAATCCACACAAAGGTTAGGACACACAGATTCCAGCTGTGAAATGTTTTTCCAAATAAAATCAACCTTTCAAACATAAATCACAAATCATATATTTCTGTACAATAATATTGTTTAAACACAGACTGCACAGTTAAATTATACATACCAGAAATATTTCCCTACTTGTTTTTTATTCTTGTAGACAACAACTCCTACGGGTGTTAATCCTAAAAAATATTCAGATTTGTTTTCACCCTAGAAAATAAAAAATATGTCATTCAATTATTTATAGCAGCAATTTGTATCATAGTAGCAGTACGGTCTAGTGGAGGAAGCCAGTCTGATGACTGAATTGAGCACATTGTTTCGTCCTAGCTAGAACGGGGAAAACAGTACTTGATCCAACGATGAAAACCCCTATAAGAAAACTCTTACGCATAGATGCAAAAGAGGCAAAACAGAATGGCAGTCAAGGAAAGAATGGGAGTTTCCACATTCCACGGTATAAAATAAAAATAATTTATTAAAGGAATTACTTTCAGCTATTTGGGAAATGGCCAGAGTTCAGAGACTAAACTCTTTATTAAGACATGATAGCAACAGACATCCTGAACCCTAGCTGAAGGTACACAGTGATTTCCTGACCTACTTCACTACAGTTTAACCTCACAGCTGCTTTCTCCCTTCTAAAATAACATCACCTGTGTGCTGCTACAGAGTGGTCCGAAAGGAACTAACTGCTTTGAGAGATTCAGAGCATTTCTTTCAGAAAGGGTAGCAATGTCCAAGAGTAACAAGGAGGGGTCACATCATCTTCCCCAAAGGAAACTGTTTCTGAGGTCAGTACCTGAATTGCAAATCATATTTGTACAGAATATGATGAAAAATCTGAAGGTGAATGGCAGAAGTGCCTCCCCCCCCAACTCCCCAATTTGTAGTCTATGATCAGAATAGGCTACACCCTCAAAGGGAATAGAGCAGGACAGACAAAGGAGTTGAGTTCTCCTGCCCAACCTAGATTCTTAAAGTTTCAGGTTTGAAGAAGTCACAAGCTCTAGAAAATCTGAGTCTTCTGAAGTTTCATATGAGCCCTTTTTGGGTTACTGCTTAGATGTTTAACAGACAGGGAGTTTCTATCACAGTTTTCTTGAACTTGCTCTGAATTAATTTGAGAAAAGCCTAAATGATTTTGGGAAGCAATTCAACAACATTATTCTTTTTTTCAGCAGTAATCACCAAAAGTAATCAGTTAACTCATCATGTTCTCCCACTTCAGAGCAAAATGCTGACTTTAGTCTTCTGTGGAACAGAAGGGGCCACCAAAATGTCTCATCTCAGAATGGCTCTTTTCAACCTTTTAGAGAATTTCTGTATTTTGGGCTCCACTTTTAGAATTGAGGGAATTGAGGCCTGTTGAGGGAAAAGCGGCAGCATTTTTACCGAACACTTAACTTTGCTAGGGAATGGCAAAAATTGGCCCAGTCCCCCTAAGCATTCCCATTACCAATGAAACGTCTTTGATCACACCAAGACCTGCAGAGCAGAAGCACAAATGGGCACAGAGCACATGAAAGTCAAATGATCCAGTTCAAATAATACTAGCTGCTAGTTCAGAGTTGTTCCAGCAGCAGCTCCAATAACAGTCAAGCTTCACACTTAGGCCTTTATTACAGAGTATTATGGCAGGTCCTTCTCCCGGGGAGTGAAGGGAGGTGGTAACAGGAATGGCAAGAAAAATCTCCACTAGAATCCTAATTTTTATTTTTTTTAATCCTTCTACCTTTACGCACAATCATTATTACCGCGTCAGTATCTTATGATACTGAAGGTGCTTGAAAGACTGCAGATCTTAGTGCACGCGGTTATTTACAGAGTCACTGCACGAGGTAAACAAGCCAGCTGCAGAAGTTAGTTAATCTCTCTGCTTGGGAGAATACGGAAGAGCCCTATTTGTTCTATACCAGCAGATCATGAACCACAAAAAATATCAGCTGGGAGACTGAGGGATTATAGAAATTATACCTCTCTGTGAGAAAGCTCAAGCTCATCTCCCCGAGTTCTGCTTGTGCTCCAAAATGAACTAACTGCTAAAGGCAAGTTTATTTTCAGTATGACCAGGTAATGAAAAGAACTATGTCTCTTTATATCTATAGCTTCAGTCTCAAAGGAAGGCTTTTGGTGCTACTGTAATATAAATACAAATAATGATATTCACGGGTTAGTCTTAGGCATATTACAACGCACCCCTCACCACGCAGCTGGGGATCCATCCCTCTGCAGGGCATAAACAAACTAGGTGAAAACAAATTTTCCAGACTCTGCAAATTTAACTTGATTTTGCTGGACCATGTTGAAGCAGGTTCCAGCAACTCCCCCACTTCCTATAGGTGGAGGGGCACAGAGCACTGGATATGAATATCATTAAGCCACAGTGTGTATTAAAAAATACTTCATATTGTGGCCTGCACAATTGTCAGGTGGAAATACACGCTTAATCTTTTGGTAGCATCTTGGCTTACTTATTTTCTTTTAATTAATTTTACAAAGTACTGACATCCAATTTAGTGAACTATTTACAGTACAACTCCCCACGTGAACTTCTGATTTTCTTTTTATTCAATAAGTAAAAATAAAAAAACCCTGCCATGAGCACAATTATTCAAACAAGATAGAATGATGTTTCTACAAGGAGCACATAGCCTTCAGGTGATGGCTTCAATCCAATCCCAATATACATGTTGTTTTACAAAAGAGGTAGAGGGATCTGCTGAGGCAATACAGACAGCTTGCAATGCCGCATTATATTGTACAGAAAAAGCTGTAAACATGCTCTGTCTCTTTAGCAAAACCTTCACAATGAATACTAAAATAAGCCAGACATGCTCCTACCCCACCCTAATTTTTGGTCGCCTTTGGCAATGATTCTGAAACCTTTTCAGCTCTCACTCACTGTGTTCTTTGCAAAAGAATAACGTGCAAATTATTGTGTCAAATACAAGAACTATAACCCTCTCTATCTTTTCTGACACTTATACTAATGCCTTCCAATTTATCAGCATTGTATTTTCTTAGTACAGTTGATTGTCTTTCATAGGAGTAATCCAATCACAACCTTTCATCTGAAAACCATTAGGCTTCTGTATGTGCGAAAGATTTAATCCATTTGGTCTGTGAGCACGTATTTCTTTGGACTTCTTAAGCACAATTTTTTCTTTTAAGGTATTGCCTGATGACTAAACAGTACAAATACTCTCCACCACCTGAGTACAGGAGATTTTCTGCATGGCTATCAAATTTAAAATACATAATTATAAGCAATACTTACATAAACAGGATGGAGATCCACTCCGTACATTTCCAGGGATTTGGCCACCCCCAAGTAATTCGCTTCTGCCTCAGCAGGAACTTGACCCCTGTAAACAACATTCTGCATAAGAACTTGGCACTTCCAGTTAACGTATTGTCCTATCGATAAAAACAGTTGGCTGGACGGATGTGCAACCCTTCCTACCATTTGTGTAGACTGTCATTATCCTCTCAGCACTGCATTTCTGCTGGCTCCAAGTAAGATTGTACAGCGGGCACAAACTTTTACTATAAAATTCTCTGCTGCAAGATGCTATCATATATAAAATGCAAGTTAACTAGAGTGGCTAATCTTTTCCTGGATGCCACACTAACGCCCTGTTGTCTCAAACATGCTTCAGACATTTCATTTTTAGGTTTGAATAGGCAAAATAATCTTTTTTCAAACAACTACATGATTATTAATAAACCAGGAATGGAGTGACTGACTGGGGGAGCGTTTTCCCCTAGCAGTGCCACGGCTAGCAAGGATTTCTGAAAGCAAGGTTCAGGACTTCAGATGAAATGCTCTTTTCTTCATAAAATCTTGCCTACAGGAAGCCAGGCCAGTCAACAATACCCAAGCCTGCTACTGTAAAAACAAAGTGTGGAGTCTGTTGCAAGAGATTAGCAGTTTCACAGACCCAACTTGCCTTTCTATCTGCAAATATCAACGCATCAGTTAACAGCTACCATCAGCTGCACGGTGGGGAGAGGCCACGGGTGAAAAGTGGAGAAAAAACGGCTGTGAGGAGCGTACTTGACATCACTGAGGAAGGATTTTTTTTTTTCCAGAAAGTCTAAATAAATTCATGGTGGTCAGCAATGGACTTATCCTCAGAATTTAATTTGTTCTTCCCTCAATAATTGCCATTGATACAACAGTTAGACCCCTCTGTTGCAAGCCTGAAATAACTGAAACTGCATTTTCATCCTCACTCCTTTCTCAAGTTTCTATGACTGCTACTAGAGTGTTACCGAGAAAGTGCAGCACAGCTCATGAACCCATAAGCACTAACTCTAAAAACCGCATTTCCTGCTTCACCCTGTAACTGTTGTCTTGGGGGAACATTTTACTGCATTTGCCGCCACTCATATTCAAGGTGTGAAGCAGAGCTCAAAATCTTGACACAAGACCTGAAAAATCCTGCAATATATACATTTTCTCTTCTTGTCTCCCCGTTCTCTTCAGCCTAGCAGGTACTTTCCAGGTTTTCCCAACTTTGTTTTATGCCTGACAAGGTAGAAAACACATGAAGAGCAACACGTGAAATAGCAGCGCTAGCATAAATGCAGTAGCGTAGGTTTTTTAAATTGCTTCTCTGCATTTGAGAGACAGGCTGCTTCACCTCATCTCATCTACAGAGCAGCACTGACACCGTCTCAGGTGATCACCCTATATTTCAAGGCGTCCTGGAAAAGTAGCAGACCTGAAGCTTGGAACAAAGTCCTTTCCTCAAGAGCTGGAGTTCCCAGTAGTTCAGTGGCTCATGTCTGTATTCACAATACGCAGAACGCCGGGTATTCAGGATGACAAGGTCCTTGAATCTGGCACTACTCTACCCACTGCTGCTATAAAAATTCATTCTACAGCTTGTTTTTTTAGATCATATTTGTAGCTCTCACAGACACGAGCACAACATTCACTGAAGCAGCATTGTTGTTTTGAGTTCACGGGCAGGCTAAATATCAGGGCTAAGCAATCTGAATTACCCCATCAATGAATTAGCACCGGAATCCAACAGCAATTTAAATATTCCTATTACTATTTCCTTTCTGATCATATATAAAAAAAAAAATGTTTGTGTACAAATCCCACTTATCTCAGAAAGTACCGAAAGGCTCAGATGTCAACTGAGTGTATGTTAATATTTGTAAAGTTATACTTAATACATAAACATGTATATTTGCAAAAATCCTCAGTAAAGGCTTGGTCTGTGAAGATGTAAGCTGGAGCCACTAAAGGAAGAGAAGGGTAAGGGTACGTCCTCCCAAACGTAGATGGAGGAGACAATGTGGAAGGGAGCAGAGAGGGTCAAGAACTGAAACTGTTCCTATCCTCACAAAGAATAAATGTTTCTTTTTCTCCTCAGCATCATCCATCTTGCTAATACATCTCAAATCTGAACCAGCCTTTGCAGTCAGTAACAACAGAGCAGGCAAAGTAATAACTGTGCAGCTGATACGCACCTCTCCTTTAGCTGGACAAACAAAGAGCTCCTGAGAGCCACTAAACAATACTGGCCCTAAACGATACCGAAGGCCACTCTTAGGTCTATTATGGGCATTTTAGCTTTCCTTATGCCCCACTGATAACGTGCAATATTGATTCAAAAAACACCAACAGCTGACCTGCCAAGCATGAGTTAGCCCCCGACCTGCTGCGGTCTGCAGCAGACAGTGTAAGAGGGCCAGCATGAGCTCTCCCATTTGTACTGAAGGATTATATTCCTCCTGCAGCACCCTGAGCGTCTGCTCCCTCAGGTGCAAGAGCTGCAGCCACTGTTTGCTGTTGAAGATGTGCACATCTTCATGTGCACATGAGGAAGCAGACGCTCAGGGTGCTGACAACAAAACCACATTGCACTCTGCTATTTGACCTCAGGATTGTCATGCTGGTTTACATTTGGGACAACAACTGCCGTGGGCAGGCTGCAGACACGCTGCAACCAGAAAAACTCCCACCTCTGAGTTCTCCCACCTTACATGACTCAGAAACTTGCTCCAGAAACTTCATCCCGAACAAATCCCAGAATATCTGCTGTGCTGTGTTAAAACTGAAAGCTGAGCTCCACAAACCTATTCGCAAAATGTCACCAGTAGGTAGGTGAGAAGAAGCAGGGATATGCCCTAAGCCACTCTAGCTTGAAAAATTGTATCCAGAGACAGTTTTCACCTGTGTACAGAAGGCATGCTGGCCGTGCTGATGCTGACAGCCAGGCTGAACTAGCAATGCGTGTGCACCTTGGTGTCACTTTTTTCTGGTGCCTCGAAATCCCTGTCACCTAAGGGCAGTCAAGGAGCAGAAGAGTATCAGAGCTCTGGCTCAGCAAGCATATAAAAACACTGCTGTGAAGACAGCTATCACTCCCCTTCACAACCTCTGCTCCCCCTCCTTCTGAATTTCATCTTTAAGTCACAAACTCTTTGAGCTAAACGTATCATAGTCTGATTGCCCAAATGACTAGAGAAACTAAAGAGAGAAGAATGAAAGCTGCTTAGTATTGGTGATCTGGAATTAATCTCAAGTTTCATTTCTCGAACCCAGTCTCTGTGATGTTGACCCAAATAAACGCTCCGTGCCTCAGTTTCCCATCTCTAGAAGAGAAAAAAAAAACAGTACTACTCTACTTCACAGAAAGGCCTGTAGTAAGAGTCTCTGTCATCCATCAGTTTCTCCAGAGCAGTCGGGCAACCATTCAGAAATAATTATTTAACAACAGATTCTCTTCCCTAAAAGAGAAAGCTCAAGGTAATGTGGCAACTGGTACGCATTCCAGTCACAAGAGAACTTTCCAAAGTGAACAGCTCTGAGTTAATACCTAGTCTCATTAAACAAGGTACGTGTAACACTAACATACAAAACCACAGGCAAGACATTACTTAACCTTTATCTGGACTGGGGCTATCTTATAGCAGGAGAATCAAGAAATCTAGATCTAAATACACGATGGCTAGTTCTGATTATCTCTACATGACTTTGACAAAAGGTGTGATAAACATAAAGTATTTCTTACGGCTCTCATCTTAATAAATGGTTCTATCACAATTGCACCTAACTTGGACTTGTTAGAACAAGCTTCTTTTACGTTTACCAGGAATATGAAGTTGGAGAGAAGAAAGTAAATGTTTATTTTGGCTTTATGTACAGTATGAGCTTCTTCCATATGTTTTGTTTTCAAAACCAGGCTTACATTTGGCAGTTTTGAAGGCACTGCAGTGTAACATTCAGAACTGCAGACTGCGAAGCCAGATCTTTCTGACTTCCTGCGCTTTCACACAGTGACTGCTCTTTCTGCCTCAGTCACTCACATACCAAGTAAACTTCATTCTAAAACCTCTCTGAAGCTACGGAGACTTCATCACACAGAAGACTATTTCTAAAAATAAGTAAGTGGGACAGAAAGTGGCACTCTCCGCCTCTCTGATGCCACCTCCAAAAAGCTCCAGTTATGCTCTTTGCCCCAACTTCCATGTGAGATTGTTGTATTTTTTCCTCTTTAATTTTTCTGTTTCTTACTCAAGCACTGACAGAACAAATGGGACCAGAAGTTACCAGTCCTTATCTTTCTTTTCTTAACAGCTTGCCTCTGCAGTCTATCCCTTGGCTGTCCTTACTGCAGTTTTGCTTCCCACTGCTTTGATCAGTAATCAAGGAAAGATGTCGCATGCACAAATTGCAATCTGACAGAGAATCAACTGAATCCCAAGCACCATCTTGGTGTCCACCATCAGGCAGAGATTGCCCACCATGTCAAAGATAGTACAAAGCAGAATTTTATGTATTCTGGGTGATTACTATTCCAGTACCTGGAAGACGGAGAACCAAAGCTTTGTAAGCTTCTATGATGAAAATGAATCTGTCTTTTCCAACTTTTCCCAAGGTTAAGTTGAGATTGCATGAATCTCTTACGTCTGTTGATAATACGTTTCAGATCTCTTCAGGCCTCTTTCGTCCTGTCTGCAGTAAGCCTAATATTCTACTCCTGCAATCACTTGGTCCCTGCCAAGTATTGTAATTCTAGCTTATTTCTGCCTTCTCAGCTTCTTCTCATGCCAGAGAAATGTTTTCAGGTACAGTTTTGATGTCTGCGAACTTCTGTACCGGCTGGTTCAGTTTAACTCTTCTGACACCCACCAGGTATCCTGTGCTCGCACTGCTTTTACGCTCATGTAAAGTTTTAGAATTTGTTTGCTTTCTGTCCAGAAGCCAGCACTTCTAATGCCTTGAGTTCTTCAGTGCTGCCTGATGACTTTGTCTCCAGGCACTGTTTTTTTCCTTATGAATCTTATGTTCCTCCTTACTGTGGAATCCATTACATTGATCACTGCCAATATGTTTTACATAAGACATATTGGTTAATACAGTGAAAGGACTCTATGCCTGTAAAACCAAACTGCCTCTTTAATTTATACAGATGTCGCAACTTAAGCCATGTGCATACAAGCTGCTTTCCTGGTATCTCCTGCAACGCGAGTTGCTCTCACAAAGATTTATACAGGTTGCTACAAGCACTCCTTCCTTACCCCAGTAAGGATCTGGCAAGAAAAGAGACACTTCATTGTACGAAGTGCCTCACGTTATTATATTAAAAGTGTTTTTTTATCCAAACAATTTATTATCAGAATAGACAGGACAGGATAAGGAAAATAAATATTATCCCCATTTTACAGAGAATAGATGGAGGCAAGGACGCAATACGCATTTTGTCCAAAATTAGAACACAGGAAATCTGCGCTGGAACAGGGAACTGAACTCAAACAGTTCAGAAGATGTAGATTTCTTTTTTTTTCCCACTACAGCAAACTAAGAGAAGACAGGACCACTACTAAAACTGCTGGTTCAGAAACACCCATACCTAGGCCTGACAGACATCATATTTCCAGTTATTTTCCTATTCAGTTCTGAAAAGGACAACTTGAAACACACGAAACGTTTCTACTTTTCTGAGGGGTATAACTGGATGCTGTGGGTTTCCTCAAGTCTGCAGACCTCTGGTTGGCACTAATGAGGTGCTGCCTGTTCACACTTACCAAGCATTTCTGAATCTGATTTTAAATGACAATTTCCCAACATTACTGAGTTCTTACATCAGAGTTTTGTGTATCCGTTCTATGGCATCTTCTAGTTCTTCCTTCTGGTCCGGAACAAACCGGTACTCTGACACATAACCTGCAGTATGCTTGTACGGGTCATAGTCCCCCAGCTCAGCTACAGTACACAAGAAAAGAAAAAAGGTCACCAGTTTGCAATGCTTCATGTTAACCAAAAAGTATATTATCTAATCTATAATTTGTGCCAATCCACTTTTACCCAAGTGACTGCAGTTTCACCACGCAGTCAAATAAAAACCTCCAAACCTGTTCTTCTTTTGAAGAGGAGAAATATAAGATAATCTGCTCTTTATGTACACAGCTGTCCACACTAGCCAGCTGTAACTTTACAGACGGACCCGATTCATACTCTTGCTGACTCTTAACAGAAACGTCAAAGTCTGAATGGGAATGTAGACAAATATTATGAGATAGACCTAGAGATATGTCCTTTGTAGAAACGCATCATTTCTTGTGAGGAAACAGAAGGCGTTATTCTCTGATAAAGTATCAGTATACTTTCTGAACATTAAATTAACTTTCAAAATCAAAATAGTTGTAAAAAAATAAATTTTCTTAAACAAAAAAAGGTTAATGAATAGTCAAAACACTGTTTTCTTGGAAAAACCTAGAATTTGTATACCTTAGTTGTATTACTTTACATGTTGCCATACAATTATAAAACAAACATGCACCTTTCTCAGAACCTCCTTCTGATGATCTTAATTATAATGAATTGCATCTGAGAAACTGTGCTACAGCTAATATGTTAATTTGTTTGAATAACCCTGAGCAAAATTTGTGCACGTGGGGCCTCTGTGAGAAAATCTCCACTGAAGGTTTCTATCCAATGCCAACTGAAACCTCAGACAGCCAAAAGCAGGCTATAAGGGCCATGAAGGAAAAGGCTCATCTAACCACTCCTGTTTCTTTCTAGAATTTAATAACGCTTCCAGAACAAGACAGTTACCTGTTCAGTGGAGATGTTGAGAAGTTTCTCAAAAAACTCTCTAAGACAATGTGTTTCTGGCCTATAACAGGATCAACAGGACTAGCTACAACAGCAAGAACTTCAGTATTCCTAACAGGAACAGGTCAATCAAAAAACAGAATTGGCAGATTCTGCAGATGTGCCAAGGGTACTGTTTTCCATCAGTGCCACTATAACAGTCTGCAGTCTTTGCCCACAAAAGTCTTTGCCCATGCGCTAAGGAAAGGATCAGCATGGACACCAAAGATTGTCATCTTTGACAATCATCTTTGCCTGGCATGATCTGAATGGCGCGTGCAGGGCCAGCGGCTGAAAGTTACCCATTGTGTTTGAATGTAGAGCTTGAACTGCAATGTAAGAGGAATAACTGGTAGACAGACAGCTCCTTCCTAATTGATCGCTAGTTCTAGCAAGTATATAGGATATAACTTGCACTTCTGAAAAGCTACCTACTGATGGATGAAGGCAAATAAATGACAGGAAGAATTAAAATTCTTCACTTCAGGTCAAAACACATCCTCTCTTCAAGCAAGGTACATTCATATTGACATAACGTAATTTCTAAAAGATTCTTTTATTTGACAGAATGTGTTGCCTGGAGGCTGCCAATGACCAATCAACTCTAAACTGCCTGATGAAGTAAAAAATATGCTATGGGGGGAAAAAAAAAAGGAGGGGGTTGTTGACACAGTCTACATGCGATGTCCTAAGTACAAAATAAAGTATTCCTGAGTAAGGCAAACAGTGTTTGACACACTCCTCAGAAGGTACTTCAGATCATCATCAACTTTTCAAATATTTTTGGTACTAATTTCTATATTATTTCTACATTATTAATTTCTATATTATTTCTACTTCTTCTCTTCAGACTGAGCATCTATTTACAGTTCTCTGGTACAAATCAATCTAAATTTGTTTTGTTCCATTCTGAAATGAACACACAAAGCGCTAATCAAGTCTTCAGTCAACACAAAGTGAATCATAATACAGGATTAAAAGAAATAAGCTCTCAGCTGGCCAGAAGAACTTACACTGAATCACATATGCTCCCAGCTGCGCTGCAGTGTTGGTTGGACAAGGCAAGCGGCCCTGTAAAACATCTTGCTTGACCTGCAAGAAAAACTGATACCTAAAACAAAGAGGAAATGAAGTTATTACTTCAGTATCGAGCCCGATGCCCCAAGTAACATTTCATCATCTTCCAGTTAACTAAAAACACATCATGTAACATAATTAGGTGACAATCAAAAATTTTATCCCTGTTTGAATTACTTTTCTCCTCCTAACCTTCAAGTAACAACTAAGAACAATCTAGTGAAAGAAACTGGATTGGGGAGAACTCTGCAAATTAATTTTCCTCATAAAAGTGTAATTTCGCTCTTTTGACTTTCATACAGCAGTCAAGAAACGGGGAAGAGGGCTAAAAATCACAAAAATTCTGCTAGAAACCTATCAAAGGACCAAAGTTTAACCTGATCAGTGGATCAGCTTAGGGGAGAACTGGGCATCACACATCGCTTGAATCAGTGGTTTCCTCTCTGCATATCAGAAATAGCAAGTCTAGAATAGGAAGCAGATTTCATCGGGTCTGTCCTCTCACGAAGAAATGGGTGGATATATTACCAGCAGCTAACCGTATTTCTTAGTGCAGCATACCTGTCCTCTTGGAACAGAGACAGCAGGGATAAAATGTAATTTTGGGCTAAACCTTCCCCTTGGTGAAATGCATACTCAGGTCTCAACATAAAGCCTCACTGAATTCAAAATCAGCAGCAGGACTCAGAAGCAAAGGTAAAAATCAAAGTTTTTAAGAATATTTTTACTGATGCAGATCTCTCAGTTTCTAGCATTACATCAAATGCAATCCAAAACACCTTACATACTGTTTCTTCAGCCTCCATTGTATATATTCAACACACATCGGATAAACGGCTCAGACATCAGCTGCCAGCTGAGCACAACTATCTATCTGCATTCGCCACACCTCCTCCTGTCTTTCCAATGCTGCGCTTAACAACAAAACAATATGCACAGAACAGATGGAAAAGTAATAGGCAAGAAAACAAGCTACCAGGTAAAAGGCCTGTTTGGTTTTGCAACTCTCCATACTCATTCTAGGAAATCTTTTTAAACACACTTTGTTTTGTTTTGTCTGTTTTTACCACAACACCCTTACACAGTGTTTTACAGCACCCTATATGAAGTTCTTGCACCAAGTTCATACAAAAACACCACCGAAAAGGTATCTTTTTTAAGAAAAAGTTTGTCATGCACACACGCACACAGCTCTTTCATTATTCATTAATTCAACTTCATCTACACAGAGCAGTTCAGCTACACTGTAACTGATTTATTTTGTGTTTGTTATTACACCTGACTCATGAGAACACCTTGGAAGGCTCTGCAAGTTCAAAGTACAACTGTTCTTGTCCTTGGGAAGCTCACAAACTGCAGGTTGCACGACAGCTGATCCTTCAATTATTGAAAGCCCAATAAAAATTACTAGACTTTATCAGACCAACTGAGTCTCTAAATAAGAATATCCATTTCTTTCTGGTTAATGATCCCCAGAATATGTGCTGTGCTTTGTGTGATTATGACAGAAGAAAACGTCCATCCTTAAACAAATGGCTAATATTCTTCATCCCTAATGGCCAGGACCTTGCACAGAAGTTTTTGAGAAAGTCATCCAGAGATATAAAGCGCGCACACTCAGGGTTTCTCCTGTCTAGGCAACATGTCAGTATTGCTTCTATCTAGGGCTGGCCAGTCCCATCTAGACAAATATTCTCTGTATGGATGATGAAGATAAAGAAGATTTTAAATCTACTATGGAGCACACAGCACCTTCTTTTTAACATGAAATACGCTTCTGATATACAATCGTTTTTCCTTTAACACCTCTACAGGTCTACAGTGCAGAGCTTCAGGAACGGAATAGGGCTACCAATGTCCTTTCCATGTAGTAGGTGTCCTTACCTGCCTCTTTCCAGTATGTTTGTTCAGAATACAACAGAACAACGCCTTTGCAACAAAACTCACCTCCTTGCCAAAAAACAGTCAGAGGCAACAACCGTTAAGTGCTGGAGTGACTCCTACAAAGTGATGAACATTCTCAATTCCCACTGTAGCCACTAAGCTCCTCACAGAACGAGGCCTTTTGTCCAAACTTGTAGCTAAAATATTCTCACCTTGTTCGCTGTCAAGTTTGTCACGCATACTATTAAGTACCCAAGCACACAGCTCTAGCAAACACATCCCGCAAATGTTAATAGGAATCAGCTCAGCATTAGCTTTTGCCTACAAACCAAAATTAGAATTTGGTGTGAAGCAATTACAAATTTGACAGGATTTTATTATTTGCAAGTAGTAATCATGTAATGCCATAGATCATTAACATCTAATAACAGCACTCACATATGCATTCAAATAACAATCACGCTCCAAATAAACACAGTCAGCGCACCACTGGAATCACATACTTCCTGCTTAAAATTATCGTTATGAAGAAAAAGAGTGGCTGTAATCCCTTCTAGGTAGAAGGCTTTATTTTTACCTTTTTTCTGAAAATATATATTTTTCCCTTCCAAGGTTTAAGAGTCTATAGGAATAAACGCTCATAAAGTTTGATGGCATTTGGCTGTTCTTCAGTGTGTTTTTTGAAGAGTGTAGTTACAAGCACATTGCTTTCTTATGTACCTCTGTACCTTCCAGGGTGCAACTTTTGCATGAGCAAACAAACACTGTGCACACAAAAAGAGAGGCTTACGATTTATACCAAAATGCTTCTTGACTAGATTTGCACACCAAATAAGTGCAAATCACAGGCTAACTTTATTGCAAGGAAACCAAATGCAATTCTTGAAAATTTAGCCCCTGTCATTCCACAGACATAAATCCAACCTGCCTCCCTAGCAGTAATCACAACAGGTTCTGCTGCTGAAGTTCTCTTCCCAGGGCCATCTTTTTCCCCCTGTTTGAGTAGAGTTGAAAGTGGCTCTGGAAAGGAACAGCAAAACTGTATCAAACTTTGAGGGCAGCAGGGCATTACATTGCAGCCAACTTATGTTTTTTACCTGAAGAATCGTCATTTTATTTATTTTTACCAGGTCAATATCAATCTTGTTATACTGAGACTTCTGTTACTGCAGTGCCCTTAAGGGGGGAAAAAAAAATTTCTCATTGCGGTACATGAAATATATTCTGCTTAGGCTGTAACAACTGCCACGTTTGATTAAGGAAAATTAAAATCCCTGCACGTGTTCAAATGGATTCTTACATGTCATATTCCTCTTGAGCACAAACTTGGACATCAGAAGAAATATTTTGGCATTTATTAATGCAAGTCAGTATATTAATTTTATCCATCTACCTATCACAATGTTTAAAGTTCCTTTTGAATATAAAATTAATTGTCTAGGATCTTTCATAAACAAAGCAAACAGAAAAGCCCCTGTGTGTGAGTTCATGCAAGTGCACGTGCGCGCGCACGTGCGTGTATCTGCAGAATTTTTTTTAAGGCTAATCTTATCTAAAAGAATGAAAAGCACATAGCTCTTCAATTTCCTTCACATATTTTTAGGACAAAGAGAAGTCCTCTTGAAAAACAGTCCTGGAATTTAAGCTATGACCAATAAAGAAGAAAATCTCCTGTATTTAGATACCCAAGCAAACTCTAAACTTCACTATAGCACATGCATAAAGAGAGAAGGAGAGGGAGGAAAAGGAAAGAAGAGAAAGAGAGGGAGAGAGAGAAAAAGGAAAGAACTCAAACGCACATCAGATGCCTTTGCTTTTTAATGCACTAGAAAGTACCTTTTCATCCTGATCTTCCCAACCGTGGTTCATACCAACCTCCGTGAAGTTGCTCACAACTCTCTTCCTGCACATGCAGACGCTCCAGCATAAACAACAACGCAGGCACACCGCAGCGGTACGCGCCTGACTCTAACCCGCTACTACCTGGAAACCAACTACCTATGCTCCCATCACAATACTGCACCTTGTTATTTCTTCTTTAAGTTTACATGGATCTTCTGCATAGAATTTAATGCCGAAATACAGCGTGTATGGTGGTCCAGCTGAGGGGGAAAAAAAACAGAAAAATAAAAATCAGTGCAAAAGGTAATAGTTATGATTATCTGATTACAAAACATCTACTACGAAGCCTATAAAACTTGAAGTCACCAAAAATTCCTCACACAATCATATAACATTCTTTAGCAAAGCAGAACATCTACATTCATAACATATGAATAATAAACCATAATTATTATAAAATAACAAGGTTCTAATAGCACAAATATAATAATAAATACAATAATAAAAAACTAAACTAAGAAAAGTCTTTTTACTATTTTTTCCACAAATTGTGTTTATTTATTCATATCCCATATTCTACTTGGAGTTTTTTTTTATTTTGAAAACTTTAACTTTAGATTTCTTTGCTATTTCTCCAAGAGTTTTTTTTTAACTGATTGGTTTTGACCTTTAAATACCTTTTCTAATGAGACTTTTGAAAAAAATGTAATTGTGCGAAATGTGATTCCCTATGATAAATTATACTGAATATTAAGCCTTTCTACATTTTCAAATATCTTACAAAGAGATTTTAATTATATGCTAGTTTAATTAATAAATATTTGGAAGGGCTTTTCTAATTCCACTTTTATAAATACATTGTTCTTCCCCAGTAAGCTTCCGTCCCGAGATTCTTACAGATGCATTTATTTCACGTACGCTCCCACTTTTACATGTTTCACAGAAAGTCTCCAATTTATTTTTAAGAAATCTTACCAAAATTCTTTAATTATAATGCAAGTAACGGGTATTACATAGGAAGACCAGACAGTAATGCAGTAAAAACATTAGCCAGCATATTATCAATAGAAGCAATATTGTTACCTTCAGAAGAAAAAAGGGAATTTCATGTGGTTAGTATGGTAGAGGTATCACAGTTAAAAATTAATTATAAAAATTAATTATAAAATTATAAAATTAATTATACAAGTTAAGAATAGCACCATTTGTTTTCTAAAATAAAAACGTAACGGCAGAGAACTCCTTGGACAACAGTCTCACAAATACCCTTGGAAAATGACGGTACATTCAATGCGTGTGTGAAATTTTGATGTGGCTATGAACTATAGTAATGAATTAGCTATTAACCTGTTGCAACTAGAATACAAAGGTCTTACAGGCTATATATACATGGAATACTTTCTCTGTTGTTTCATCTTCAGATAATTTCTTTAAAAGTTTGAATTAAATACATACTGTTTATCAATTCCTTATGTTCAGCAAGGGTCTTTGCAGGATCCAGCCAGTACTGTGAGATAAATAATTATGGAAAATAGTCACTTAACATTGCAAATCATGCAGGATAATATCAAGTGCATATTTATTCATATATTGATGTTTTTCCTCACAAACAGAGCACAAGTAAGATGATTCACTTTCTCCGCAGAACACAGAAACTTTTCCGAGATCACATTAACGCGGAAGTGGACAGACCGTCCGCCTGAGACGCGCTCGTCTGCTAACAACCGCCTCGTAGCAGTAGAGCCGTTTCTGATCAGAGAACCATCGTCTGCACGAGTGTGATGTTACCTGTCTTCTCTGAGGCAACGGGTCTCGCTAAAAGGAAATGCGTTTGCTAGGAGCTACCACGTATCAGTCTCGTGACCAGCTGGCTCTACAGAGGATTTATATAAGGGACCTCTTGGTGTCTACCTTATCGGACAGAGATAGTACACGCTGCTGTGCAACCCGCTCTTTTCTTCCCAGGAGATTAACCGAAGCAGGCTATCTCTGAAGTAACAGCAAAGGTATACATACACTCAGTAACAACAAAGCACGTCAGACAAGACCTACAGGGAAAGAATGAAGGGGCTCCATTTTTTTTTTTCCTAACAAAGCCCAAAAGGGAGGCGATAGGCGTAACTCTTCCATCTCCAAGAACTGCTATAAGAAAACGCTGATCAATTTTCCGTCATGTCCACTGAGTACAAGATGTGAAGAAAGTGGCTTAACTAGCAGCAAAGAAAATTTAGTTTTGATTTTTAGAAAAGCCTTCTAATAACAGGGGACGGAGTCACTGGCAAACGGCACCAAGGGAGAAAGGGCGCAGAATCTCTTCCCCCGGCAGGTTTAAAGAGCTGGTTGGCAAACGTGTCAGAGATGAGCAAGGTGTATGTACTTGGTGCGCTGCAAAGGCATCAGCTGTTACGAGAGCGCCCCTATCATTCGACCAACAGACCACAGACAACTGCTTGTATAACTTCCGATTACTCTGCCCCTTCTCTAGCAAACTTTTGTTAGAAGCTATTCAGCAGGTTACCGCTGAGCCCACTTCTGCAGACCAGCTGGCTACCTCTCAGGATGGCTACACGGATCACCAGCACGGTGCACATCCTGTTCTCGCAATGACTGCGTTAGCTTATTTTTTCTTTAGCCTGACATTTCTATGATTCATTTATTGGAAAAAAAGTGCACAGGCAGCTGCCAAGACCATTCTTGTCTTCACTCATTTCTGTCCTCTGCCCTCGTACATGAACTTTTTGGACCAGCCAAGAACGGCACACAGTTTTAAAACATGGGGAGGAAAAAGGCTGCAGAACACAGCTCCTGAAAAGCGCTTTCTGAGGCAGCCTGAATTTACTCCCTTTGTGCCCCCCACTTTTAACCAAGGAACTATACAGACCAAAGAACGAGGAAACGCCTTACCCGCCCCACTGAGCTCACCCTACAGAGAACAAGGCTAAACTGATCAATCAAAAATCTTCCTCTTCTAGCCAGAGGACATCTCCAGAGTAAAGAATTTCACTATTAGAACGAGTAACAAAGGAGAGAGGGAAAAACACTACAAAAGACTGAAAGGAAAAATTCAAACAATTAATTGAATAACCGGTTGTAAACAACTATCAGTATTTTGACGAAACAGGAAAACAAACTAGTTAGCCGCTGATCCAGCTGCATGCCTTGCTCTTGGTCTAGTAGACTGATATTGCCATTTCACATCCAGGAACGTTTGTGGAGCATTGCCATAAACTAAGATTACAAGAGTCATCAGCCGTCCGTTCAGTGAGCTGCATTTTAAAAAAAATAATTAAGATGGCACCTCACACAGGAGGAAAACCTTACACTTGACTCTTACCTACAAAATTCTCATGAGTCAAAAGTGACAGCTTCACAAGCATATAGAGTGATGATCAGGCACTTCAAACTTCCTAAAGAAAAATGTATTTGTTTTGCATGCATCCAGTAACTATCCGAAAACACAAACCCTCTTAACCTCAACACAAGGTGGGAAGGGAAGAAAAACTCGTCACACTTGTTCAAACAACCTGTCAGAACTCCCTACCAGCAATAATCTGAGCTAGCACAGTAAGCTGATAAAATACAGAGATTTCAAAGTTAACAGGCAAAAAAGGGGCAAAAATGACACTGCAATGCACATTCCGACCTCAGAACATCCCACTTTCCAAAACTGGCATCACAGCGCGAAAAATACATTGCCAAACTAGTTTGCTTTTCATTGACAGCTCTGCGTTATGTTGCAAGAGATCAGAACTATGCTGTTTCAACAACAGATCAAATTCTATCACAAAATAACTCGACAGTCTTTAAAGCAAAAATGATTTTCCTTAAGTGAACTGAAATCAGCTTCAAGATTTGATGCTGTATTTTTTAATGTTTCATAGTCCCCTTTGTTTTTGAGCTTTATACGTACGGATGGATTAACTGTATGTAAAAAATTGATGTTGAAGTATCACCATTCAAGTTGCCAAGTCAAGCCCAGGAGTATTACAGACTTCTGGTTGTCTCTGTAACCTGAATTCTGTTGCCTTTTGTATCCATGCAATACGCTGGCTGCGATGGGATAAAACAGACAGTGGCCCCATAATCAAAGACTGTATCATCACATAAGTAGACAGCACAAGCACACTAAAGTTGCATTAGAAGTCTTAATTCTCACGTTTCCTACTTTGCAGTACTTGACTTTGCAGCCTAAATTATATTCTTTGTATGGTCTTTGGAATGCAATTTCCAAGTTGCAGGCAGCTGTGTAACACACAACACAATTGTTTATTACCTTTCACACCCAGTAGAGCCCTTTAAGCATACTTATGCACATCTACATAACAATGTGCATTATATACATATCAAATACATGTGTATTCATATAAATAATGTTGGACATGGTCATAGTTTTGCATTCACTTGTTAAATTGTTAAAGAGCCAAGAGGAAGAAAACAAAAGAGCCCTCTCTCCTGTTAATCCAATACACTTGCACAGCAGGTGATGACAACAAACTTAGCATTCATGGGTGCTGAAGCAGGAGACATGTAGTCTCATTCTTTTTATCTATTTGGCAACCAGCTTGTCACTTCTCAGGGAGCTCCTGCCTGTATCTCTCCTGTGCACACAGCTACTTATCTAACTTACAAGCAGCTCATCACCACTGCAAAGCAGCGGAGGACCCAGCTCTTACCCATCCAACTGCAGGTGCTAAATTACGTGCATCTGAAAGCAAAATTTAATATTCACAGAAGAAATAGGGGGGAAAAAAATCACTATTTTTCATTAGCACTAACAAATGCAGCTATCCAATTACTAAATTGATGGCTACTAATTTACTAATTACTATTTACAAAGGCAATTTACCCTTTATTTACTACACAAATTATTATTTACTAAGAATGATGATAAATTTACTTGACATTAATGAACAAAATCTTCCTTGTTCCTTTTTAGGAAGGAATTATAAAAAAAAGATGTTTTAAAAAACGTATGGTGTTTTAAGAACAGACAGGCTCTGTTGTCATTTGTACTTCTACAAATCGGGCTCCAATATGAAGATTTTAAACTGAGACAAAGCTGTGAAAGGTGTATGCGTTATTTTATAATCAGCCCTTTAAATGAGCGCAAACATTTCTTCCGTGAATTTCATTCCTTGAATCTGCATAGGGTCAAATCTAGGTCAAATTCCATGAACTTAATTGAAACAAAATATTAACTAGGTTGAAATGTTTGCTGTGGTATCAGTCAATGAAGTGTTCGGTGGAGGCAAATCTATCAATTTCAAGGTATCTTAATAAGGTACCTTGGTACCTTAATAAGACTTATTACCTTAAGGTACCTTAGGCATCTTAATAAGACTTTTATGAAGTTGTACCTATCTCCTCACGCCAATTTTTGTTCACTTTTACAAGAGAAAAATCATAACATTTAAGAGATTACCTAGCATTTTTCAATTATAATCTGAAATTATCAAAAACCTTCCATAATTTCAGCCAACATTAACCATCAGAATTATTAGGTCAGTTTTTCTACAAATATTAAATGCAAACTCTCTAGATCTTCTGAGCTGCAGACATCCTAGGTGACCTCGTCAAGAACTCTGAAAAAGGAAAATGTTCCCTTATTACAAAGGAAATGAATAAATCATCAGGCATTTCCTAAAAATACAAATATGTATTAAATACTTCTACCTTTTTATTAGAATCTGAAGTTCTCTCTCTTATACTTAATAATAAATCTATACTATACCAGAGTATGAGTTTCCTTTTGATCCTGCTACCCTTTAAAAGTTCACTCTTACTGCCTTTAATTCACTTGGCCATCAGCTTCGTTTAGGTTGTCTCATTCCCTTAATAATCTTCTACAGTTTCTAGCTTCTAATCAATACTATCAACTCCCACTTTCCTCTCACTGGCTATACAGCCTAATTTTAACCAGTCCAAGTCTTTTTCTTTCGAGCTAATTTAGTGTACTGTATTCATGGGCAAATGTCAAACCCAGGCAAAAAACAAAATATGAGCTAAGTACAGCTCAACTGTTCTTCCAAGCTCTTGAGATCACAGTGTACACTATATCATGTTACAGTGAAGTCCTAAAGGACAGACATTTCCTATTGTAAGCAAATATTTTGTTAAAATGATGCCTTTTTCTACAGCTAAGTTACATACAGTCCATTTAATCTGCTATTTTTTTGCCATCTACCTATTTGGTCTAATAACCTGGCAATTTGAGCATGCTGCAGTTCCTTTATTAACTGTGTAGGATGGATCAAGAAACATACTTCGCATCCATGAGTCCACACTGCTGGGATACGGACTTCATGGTGCTGGCTTCTGTATTTAACTTTGCCATAACTGAACTGACCTGATTGCAGCAGGGCAATTCACAGTAGAAAGTTCAGCGTCAGAAGAAATCGAGATCTGCATCCCCTCCTCGCTGCTTCTACATCCCCTCTGGGCTACTCAGCTGCAAAATGCATTGCCAAGGGCTATCTTCTACATGCTACTCTACCACACCCGTACGCTCAAAACAGAGCTTCCACACAGCAAGGAAGAAAGCACCCAAATGAACACTTATTTCAAATAAATTCATACTACCCACTAGATGCACGGTACGCAGATACAGTGGTGCCAATTTCATGTTCGCTCCGGATCTTGGAGCGGTAGGGATGCGTTAGCACAGCACTGTACCTGAACTAACCGGGGCAGGGGAAATCAGCTTGGATACGCTGCTGAATTTACACGGTAATAATGCTTTCTGTATTTTTATAGCCCTAAGCCAATATCGCTATGCTGTCCATTGTGAATTTAACAGCTCAGGTTAGCATTACAGTGGAGAAGAAAAGGCAGATCTTTGCATCACACCCTGTTGTACAACACAGACATGCCTCCAGGGACCTTAGACTGAGCAGGTTTAGCATGAGAGTTTAGTTGGGGATGGTGAGGGGCCAATCTGACCAAACTTGAGATTGCAAAACGCAGTCGGGTTTCTGCAAGTTAAAAATAGTTTTTATTACCAAAGGATCTTTAAAATGCTTTCAGTTGTCTAGCTTTGTCTACAATAAGGGTATCTCAAAATCTTTTTCATAAGAGAAGCTCTAATAGCATGATTTTTTTCGGCATGCTTTTGTGTTTTAGCAAGGGAATGCCTTCAGGCTACAGAAGTGCCCTTTCTCTCATCAAATTCTGCTCAGCTTTTCCTGAGATATAACGTATGAAAATTGCCATTTCCATTCCCTCTTTCGTACGCTGCAAGAAAATATCGGCATCCTGCCAAAATAATAATTGGCACCGCTCTCCTAAAGCACATTGGTGATGCCAGAGAGGCAGTAGCAGCAGTCATTATGTGGGAGCACCTGGGAGCTGGAGGAAGGTGGGAAACAGAAGTGAGATGAGCAGGGGACCTGTGCGGGCCTCCTAACATGGACTTACCTTGCATTTGGTCCCTCCTCCACTAAAGGAGAGGGAAATCACAAGGCTGCTGTTCTCCCAATTACCAAAGCAGTGAGAGAGTAAAAGGCAGGACAGCCTTTCCTAAACCATTTTCAGCTTCTGCGGCACAGACTCTGGAGGTGGTCTTGCCTGAGAACACCAAATAGGGCACATTATACCACTTTGCTGACAGATGAGGCAGAAGACAAAAAATGCCCCATCAGTCAGGACCCAGCTGACCATCCACAGTGAAAAGTAAAGGCTGGATCTGCCCTCAGCTCAGTGTGACTGAAGTGCCAACAGTTTGGGCAGCAACGCAAAAGGCTTGAGCGAACAGCTGATGACAAGGCACAGAGAGGTACAGTGGCAATCAGTTAAAACTATTTTTCATTTAACCTATCTATACCAAAAACATACTATGCTATGTTAAAAGAGCACTGTGTAGTTTGTGAACAAAAGCACTCAAGGTTAGGAAACACTACTGACATCCTACAGCATTAGTTCAACCCATCTGTTCATTTTGATGGAGTTTCAGTTATAAGATCAAATACTTTTTGTTTTTCCTTAGGACTTCCACCCTGCTCAGAGCACAAGATAGACATAGCTTAAGTACCTCACTGGAGAATAATAAATTTGGCAATTCCTAACTTTCAAGTGCTTGATTTTGCAAATTAAATACTGTTCTTTTAACATGAAGAGGTTGAGGGTACCCGGAACATCGGCAGAGAAATTCGTATAATATGTCCAAATTACTACTCTAGAGACAGAATCCTCCAATTCCTGCTCTATCCTACTGTCCGTGGTCTCCTCCCTGTTCTCTTGTTCTGTCCTTCTCTTTGTTGCGCCTAGCTGTTCTCTCTCACTTTCCAATCAGTTAGCTAGCTTCTTCAGGAAGAGACCACTTGACTGTTAACGCATTCATACGCTATATAGCACAGTGAAATCCTGTTCCCTGATTAGACCCAAAGTACTACTAAAATAATTATGATACTACCCACATAAGAGGTAGCTCACTAGCACAGCATGAAACAAACTGGAAGTGCCGAGGCATGCATAAATAATGGGAAGAATAACTAACCGATTTCTTTCATACTCTTCATAAAAAACCTCTTTTGTGACTGTGTTGTGTTCTTTAAAACATACAGTTTTGTCCAATCTATTTTATTCATCACTCAGTTAAATATATAATACCACAAAAAAACCTGCCAAATTAAGTAGTAAAATATTCCTCACCAGTAGCAGTGCGTTAATAGGTGGCCAATACTCCAAAAAGATTTTTCTCTCTGAGACTAACTCAGGAGCACAGTTTTAAAACTAATTAGCAAGGTAACCTTTTTTAACTCCCTTAGGAAATCTGCTCTGGCCAATCCAAAACATATCCAATACAAAATTCAAATCTAGGTTTCTTGTCAGCCAGTACAGGACTAAGTCCCGCAATAGCCCACAGGGTTTGAGCAGTTTTCACTGTGCAATTCAATACATGTTTACAGTTTAAGTGCATGGTGTTGCTTGTTCCAAGGAGGCTTTCCCTTTATACTGGCCATTCTTAAGGCATAAAAGGATTTCACTAAAAACAGCAGCCTAGCAACAGTTGCATAAAACACGTAAAACTAAACACAGTCCTCATTAATGAACCTTCCAGGTAAAACAGCATTAACTTCTAATTACCTATGCACAGATAAACAACAGGAACAGGCATTTTCCTGATATTTTTCTATAATACAGCCCAGGTGCAAAGCCTGCAGCACAAACTCAGTCGGTCACTGTGGCAGTGTCTACCTGGCAGGGCAGGTGCACTCCATAACGTGGCCCACAGTTGTGGTCTCCGGTTGTACATCCTGGCTGCTTCCCAGCGGCATGTCAGGACAAAGCTTGTGTGTGCACCCTTCTCCCACGCACCTCAGATCGCTCTGTAAAGAAAATCTGCAGGCGGGGGATACACTGTGCCCCAGTCAAGAGACCAGGAATACAAACACTACAGAGACACCTGCCCACCAGTGCGGAAGCCAGGCAAAATACAGGTCAGAGGACCTCCACACACAGAGCGACTGGAGCTCCTTATCTGCGCTGGTACCACTTGTATTCCCACACCATGACTGCTACCAGTACACAAGCAGGAAAACTAGGGAAGTGGGATGAACACCTTCATGATCCACAGGAAAGCCTATGCACAGCGGCTTCTCGATCTTGAGTGATCGGAAAACAGAGACAAAGGCTAACGTTAAGGTTACACCACTAGAGCACGATACGAGAGAAAAAAGCAAAAAAGCAGTATTTGGAGAGGCTGAGTTAATGGCATAATGACTGACAGCTCATACACACTAACATAATGAAAAAATGCAATAATATCATACAGCCAAATCTGCTAGTCTATTAGCAGGATATATCCTAAAATGTGCCCTTACGCATTAAGCCTTTCTGAAGGGAGGTAATCTTCTCTTATTTTCACAATGCCAGATAAATCACTTAATACGCACTGTGCACATCTCTGGAATTTGTCTTTGCAGGAAAAAAGGAAACTGTTTTGAGAGTAAAAAATAGCTACCTGCTTTTCATTCACACGTTTCCTCGGGAAATCAAAAATGCTCTTTTCAACAGCCTACTTTTCAGTTCATCGCTGAATCTGACTTTCATCTCCATGTAACAAAACTTAGTTTAAAAGCCTGAAGCTTTAACTGAATTTATAAATGTCTAGACTACAGCACAGAAATAAACAAATGGCGAGCAGGGCAGTCTGCAGCTCCCAATAGCAAGCAATAGTCTCTAGCTACTATGACTCCAGTCTCTACAGGTTCTACTTCAGCTAATCAGAAGAAATTAGTAAGCATTTAGTCAATTCAGTAACTTACTATCATTTTTAGATAAAACTTGACATCTCTCGAGGTCAGGGTGCTGTGCCTACTCCCAAAATACAGTTGACTTTAAAAGCATAACAGCTTGACATAATTACCCATAAGCCAGGCATTATTCCTTTCATAAAATGAAGGTAATATGAAGACCTCTCTATGAATACAGCACTGGTTCCCCTACTGAGCACTCCCTGCTCCTCCTCTCTGACCGCAGTAACACTTCACAACCTGTTTTGGGAAGGCAGTTCGGATACCACCGCCCCAATCCAACTGTTTTGGCCCTAAAATGTCTCAGCCCAGTTTCTATTTTCTTGCCCAATTAAGACTGTAATCTCCTGCTGGAAAAAGCCTTGCACGTGTGGAGAGTCCCTGTCAATCAAATGGGACTCCTTCTTCATGGTATTGGCTTGAGGACGCAGTGCCAGTCCAAGCGGAGCCAAGAGGTCATTATCAATATCCTGACTTCTGGGGCTCTCAGTAAATGAGCAGTCGCCATACTATACAAAACGTCCTGACAGCCAAATGCTTCCTTCAAAGCAGGAGCTATGCTCTAAGACAGCAGATCAGCAAGCAGCCCAAGTAAATCAGCTTTTGACACACTTGGGGACACTGCTTTCAAGATACTCCAGGCCCAGCCAAAACAGGAGTAAGTTACAACTGGTTCATTCAAAGAGAATTCCCAGTCAGGAAAGTATCACGTGCTAAGCATCGAGTTCAGGGCAAAACACTAAAACGGAAAAATACTTAACCCTACTTACTGCGACAATTTTTTACCTGTTATACTTTCTTCATTTTATTTTCAAAAATCAAATCCTAAATTCTGCATGAGAAAATGTTCCGGTCTAAAACATTAATGACTATTCCAAGATCTTAATGCAAATGAGCATAAGGAAATTTTTACTGGAAAACTGACTGTTTCATGAAATAGTAAAAGTTAGTGAAGGCATGACAATTTAATGCTCTACAGGCAAAGGTCAAGAGGGTAAATTTTACAGATGGAAAACCCAGCCTGGTGTGTCGTTTACTCACCGTTTGATGACTTTGGTCACAGTAGCGCAGTCCAAAGTAATCTATCTCCACTAGGTTTAAGTGACGAAATACGTAGCCCAGGACAACCGACCCTTTCGTTGACTTCTGTGGGAAAGAATTTACAGGGTCTTTTCATAAAGATGCTCTGCCTTTGTCAGCTATGTGCAGTGGCGTTCATGCATTCAGTTAGCTTTGTCTAAAGAAGAAGGCAGCTCCCCACTGCCTTAAATCAAAAATTCAGCTATATACAGAAGAAAATATATTGTCCTGATACGTGTTTAACCAACCATTCTGAAACTATTGTTACGTAGTTAGCAGGTAAATAAGCACAAAAAAAAAAAACTACTTAAGAGTACTCGCATGCATACAATGCTAGTGAGCCTAGTGTGTTTTCCTTGCAAATTTCTGGTCTCTGATCAACACTCTAATCCCCACAGCATATCTCAATTCTGAAATAATATTCTTCCTTCAAGCAGAGGCTGCCTGTCACTCAAACGCTGACACTGAAGATCAGGAGGCAAAAGTCTGTCCGTAAGATGTAAATTATGAATCCTTAGCTACTCCGTTATTACTCTTGCTGAAGAAGGTTGGAGTTCATTTGTTTTCATTTAAAATGCTTTTGGTAGTAGAAGTGGGAGAAATCCAACACCTTGAATCAAAATAATCTCACTGTATTCTTGAATACTACTTCATTAAGGGTCTACTCTAGTATTTGCAAACAATATTGGGGACAACATTACCAACAAAGTTGTACTGTTGACAACATATTATGAAATGCTTACTGCCACCTGAAGGCCTCCTACTTATCGGTTTGTCTGCTAGCCAACAACAAACGTGCAAAGACAACTGAGAACAATTACACAGAACGATCCCTCTACAGAATCATGTAAAGCCTTTGCTTCCTATAGTCCTAAATTCCACAGAAAAACATGGAAATAAATCATAATTAGGCTTTGGTTAACTGCTTTACGTATACATACATAGAAGGGCCCTAGGATACCAGTGCATGCCAATTGCCCTACGCTTAGCCTGCATATGTGGAAAAACTACTTGTAAGAAGCTCGTATAAACAGTCAGAGAACAGTGAATAGGACACACACACCTGAAAGACGTGTCACCAATTAACCATTTACAACAGATTTCAAAAACGAGTTTACATCTGCTTTAATCTTCTCTGTTACAGTAAAAGCATGAGAGAACTGAAACAGGAAGTTGAGGCTGAGAGATACTGCTTGTGTTCTTTTGCTGTTTAACCTAGGAGAAAAATCACAATTTCACAACTAAAATGGCAAAAAAACATTGATATTCAATTTATTTAATTCAGCTCTGCTAGTGAAATATCAGTCAAACAACGACTGTGAAGGCACTTTCATTCTTTTCCAGTAGACACGTTTGTGAAGTATTTGTACCCAGTCACCAAGGCAGGGTCAGTACAACAATTTCAGATGGTCAATGGCACTCTAAGTAAGTAATGGCAAGATAAACATCTCTGGTAGGCTGGGACTTGTTTATTCGTGCTATTCAACTAATTTAATATATGTTTATTATACATAAACAGTATGTATACTGTTCTTCAGTAGTTCTTCAAAGGGTCTCAGTATGGCACAATCTAATGCCATCATATAGGCTATTTACACTGAACAGTTATGCCAAGTCAGGATAGGAGAACAAAGCAACTGGAATGACATATTTCCTCAGCACGTACAGGGAGACTTAACGATCAGCCACATAACCGGAAAAACTTTGGGAAAAACATGATTAAGGTTAGCAGAAATTCACTAAATCTCACTTTAGTGTTTTAGTTGAAGCACAGAAGTACAGTTATCTTATCATTGCTTTCCCCAATAAAAACTGAACTTGGGTTGTAAAAACAATGCAAGACAAGAATCACCCTTTCTGAGCTATAAACTGACAGTCAGGAGCACTACAGCAAAAAACACAGAAACAAAACCAAATACACCTCAACAACAACAACAAAAAGGACAGGCTAAACACAGGACAACAAGGATACAAGACAGCAGCAGTAACCGTCCTACCTCATCTTCTATAAACTGTTATTCAAAGAAGCAGGAAAGATATCTAACTAAAAAGCACAGACGTTAACATTCATACTTCATATAAGAGACCACTGCCTTTGGCGTTGGTAACTGTTCTAATGATCGTTTAAGCAGTTACAATCATACCTTGGGAACCCAAGACTCCACTGGCATCCTTTAGAAACTGACACCGTAAAAGCACAAAACGAAAAAGCAGCCCTGACCCCAAAGGTCCTACGCTTAACTGCAAATGACTCCATTTAGGTATAAACCGTTGCAACATCTTAAACTGGGTAGCAAACGTAAAAAGAATATTGTAGACGGAAGGAAACCCACAATCAGCTGTCCAGAGCCATGGGGTTTTGAAAGGGTGAACTCAATTTCAGTTAGCAAAGCCTTTTCAGAAGGCATTAACCAGAGCTACCTGCATTACTGCCTATGGAGGGAAACCGGGCAGGGCCTACTGAAGGCACATGGAAATTCTGTGATTGCCTTAAGTCTACTCTTTTTCAATGAACTTGTCACTCTTTTTGTTTGCTCAGTAAAATGATTCATACCATCAATTAGTTTTATTAGTAGGACTTGGGGAGGGGGGAAGCAATCCAGGGACAAAGATGAAAGTAGTCCCTTTTCCACTCAAACATCTTATGGTAATTACGCACCCTGTTGGGACTCAAAGATGCTAGACTAAAACGAAAGAGAAACTAAAGTCCTACAGAGTTTAACTTATATCACTCTGTACCAGTTCAGGATTCAGCTAACCTGGCTGGCATTTTTCATTTTCAGTCAGCTTAGGGCTGCAATGGGCTGAATGTAAATGAAGAGTCTTTGGGACAACCTCCTTCCCCTCCTCCTCCCCCAGAAGCTAAAGCTAGCACGATCCCTAACAAACAAGCACATTTCACACCTGGTTTGGCAGAAACTAAAGCATCTCTTTTTTCCTTTCGCAGATAAACAGCAATGACGTTTAAAAATCTTTCAACTATCGTTGAGCCGAGAGAGAAAATAAACGTCTCTTAACTTTTTGCTTAACACAGCTCAGTCAACATTTCCACCACTGCAGTTCCTGCAGAAACAAGTGATCCAGCTGTGGCCAAAGGCTGCGCAAAGCCATGTTACTTACAACGGTTGGGTGCTCTCCACATCTATAGCCGTAAGATGCTCAATGTGTTGGTTATCCTCAGTCAAAACACGCTGTGTGCAATTGTCTCCATAGCCCTCCTCACCAAGGCGTTTCATGACCTTCAGCGATCCCCGTGGGTACACGGGGCAGTGCTCCACCAGGGAACTGCCGAGATGAGGGCTGGTCACTGCCCCTCTATCACTCTAACCTCACTTTACTTAACCTCACATATCGCCAACACTAAGGAAGACCCTTCGGACCCATTCTCAGAGCCTCACTGAAACCAGTGTAGCCTCATTTTCAATTAGCAAGTTCTCAGTTTAAGCCAATTGAGTTCAGAGTCTTATGCAAGTAAATTGGCTCTTCAGCTGGAATCTGGAAAGCAATTCTGCTGAAAAAGCCCCAAGAGACTACTTATCAGTCTTGAAATGCACTTTTTTTTACTGCATTGGAAGAAAGTTATCTTCAGCTATCAGATTCAGAAGAAAAGCTGTCTTATTTTCACCAATAAAATTATAACATAATTCACCAAAACTGCAGAGTAAAACTATCAAAGAATGTTAACAGAATGACATCCACAGCATATAGCGCTGCAGAAATTACATAACCTGCCTTGCATTAAGCTCAGACTTGCTAGAGCCTTGCATTCTTAGGGGTAAACCCAAGTATAATAAGTTTATTTGAAAACATCATTGGCAATGCTTTCAAGAGAGAACAAAGAATTGTTCAAATGACTCATAACATCTTACTTTACATGTTAGCACCATGGTTTCATAAACCAGAAAGGCAGGTTTCTACTGGCAAAAAAAATGACAGCCTGAACTTTCAGGAGATATTTGATTTAATTGTATTTCTTTAATCAAAAAGAAATTGCTCTCTTAAAAATGCTACAGTATTCTACTTCAATATATTCACATTACTGCATATTTAGTCATCAGAAATTCCTATTTTGCACACTGCTCATTGCTTTTTAGCCCCAGTGAGGTTTTCTGGTTTGATACTGTTTAATTATCTTCTTTGTATTGTACACAGCAGCAAAAGCCAAATCAGATCCACAATCGAGGTCAACAATAAATTTAAACGCAAAGAAAGAAGTATAGCAACGCCAGCCTCTGCAGTATTTTATTCCCTCTCTCAAGAAGAAATTCGTGTAGGGAGTGAAATGTCAAGTTATTAAAAGCAAAATAAAACACAGCATTGCCTCTTTTAGTCAGGCAGTGACCATGGAACTTTTCTTCAGAAAGTAATTCAATCTGCTGCCTTTACCAGACTCTGTCTCTTACAACCTCATAAATGCTAAGGAAGATGCAGATGAATCTGTGAGCCCCTGCTTAAAAATATGAGACTTGAAACTGTGGTTTAGCAGAACTGCTGTCTTTTGATACGTCTTCCTATTTTTTTCCCCCTCTGTTGTTGAGTCTGTTGGAAAGTCACACCTGACACCAAGTTAATTATTTCACTTTTGCACTGACGTGAGACGAGAATAAAGAACAAAAGCAGAAGGCTTCTGATATTGAACAAGGAACTTCATTAGAATACGGAAAGTCAAGGAGGGCGCTACGGGGGAAGACACACAATTGTGCTGAGAGTCAGGAGCACATACAACCGTCCTCAGCTTTCCCTCTCAGGCGTACGGCTGCAGGGGTTGTGCTGCTAAACAGGCCCTTGAGTTGGAAGTGTGCTTGACCCACCACCTACATGCTACACAGTAGCTAGCGCCCATGCAGTAAGGGGAGGTGCTCCCTACCTGTTGGAGCTGGAGTGCGCAGGCCAGCCACGTCTGGAGCAGGAGCACAGAAAGCCCAAAAAAAGAGGGGAAGCCCCCGTTCTACTGCTTGCATGCAGGTAAAAGGCAGCTCTGGACGCGTCTGTCACAGCAACGGCACACGCATGGACCAGCCCGACACCATGTGGGTGCTCAGGTGGATGCCCCCCCCCCACAGTAC